GGGCGCGCGCGGTCCCGCCAGCAACACGTGCTTGGCGCCGCGCCGCACCAGCCACTCCGCCAGCTCCAGCGCCGCGACGTGCGCGCCGCCTGCGGGACAGACCGCGCCTCACTGGAGACCTCACGGGAGGAGTCTGGGCCCTCTGCGGACGTCACGGAGACGGCTACACTGAATGTTGAGTCAAACTTCTAGCTAGGGCAGCTAGCTAGGGCAGCTAGCTAGGGCAGCTAGCTAACTAGCTAGCGACAGTCAGCATTCGCCCATTAAAATAAACCTATTTCGCGTCAGAAAGCACACACGAACTCTAATATACGTAACAATGACGCTGTCACTGGACGATTAAAATCCCTAGCTCGCATTGATCTTCCCGTAGCTATCTGAAGAACGATGTAGTATGCGTTAAAGGTTCTGCTGCACAAGCGCTATGTCTCCCTTCTCGTGAGTCGCGCTCGGGCTTTCACGGCTGTCGAATGCACAAATGTCTCGCACGAACTCTACCGCTCTCGTCTAATAGGCGTATCTCAAGGTCAGTTATTGTTGTTTGACTATTTTCCCTTCTTAGTAAGTTTGAGGTATTTAATATTATTCGTATGCAAGAAGACCATTCTATATTTTGAAATAATCTAAAATAACTTGAAATATAAGACATTTCTCATGTCACACATGAATGTTCATTTACTAAAATACTCGGAACAATTTTTGTAATTTTCTTACATATGTTTAAGGCGGCAGTGTATCCAACCAAACACATAGGGAATCAATTGGTGGGTTCTATCGTCGACGCCACTCACAACTAATTTTTGGCACTTGCGAAAAATATCAAAGTTCATTGTTAGAAAATTCAGGATTGATTTGTATGTCAATATTACATGTCTAGATAAGTTGAAGTGAAAAACCAAGCAAATAAAAATGCCAAAATAACGTGGGACAGCCGCTAAGAGCAAATTTGATGATTCCTAATAAATGCCAATGTTGTTAATTTTCAATTATTAAAAAAATAGATGAAAGCAGTGGAGTGAAGTAGTAACTTAATTAAAAATTGTTTTCTTCAATATTTTTCAAACGGTAAATTTAATAGAAAGATAGTTTCGTAACGTCTAATCCTTCAAGTATAGAAAGAATGCATTAGCTGTCAAATGTTTTTTTGCTAAAATTTCCAAATAATAAATAAATAGAGAGATGAGGTATTTTATGAAATAATAATAATAATAATAATAATAATAATTCAATTATTTCTTTAACAAACAACTTACCGTAAATGACATACGAAGCACTAGGAACTGTCTGGAATCGTGAAAGAGCTTGCAAGTTCAATATTTGCGGCGCCGAAATTGCCTTGTCCTTTTCTTCAGGTCGTATTTGGATGAGCACTTTATTATTTGGACAGCCTTCTTCAAAGCTTCTATAAAATAAAATAAGAACATTTTATTGAAAGTCTGCCTGGTATTACTCAGGCAGAAAATGAAGAGGTATTACCCTAAAGAACATAAATAAGAGGCGCATTATTTACATACGATTCTAATAAGATCAGTGAATTGGATTATCACGTTTCTTGTGTTTGAAAACAATAGATAATATAATGAATAATAGATAATGAACTATATTTTTTCATTTCTGCGACGTGACCATTGCCAATACCGTAGCCATGTGTTTCTGGAACTATGGAAAGGACATTTGTGGTCATGACATGTCAACGCAGCAAACGGGACAGTTTACTGAGTTCGAATATGGACGGGTTTGCAAGAGACGGGACGAGTTTGCAAGAGAAAAGCAATCATTTTGGAAAATCCTATCACACATTGTGCTCCAAGTGTCTATTGATTACGTCTGTTGATGCTGTTGATCCGGGGCATTTCGTCAACATATATTCTAGACAAAGACTTGGTCTGAAAAATTTGCGACGAGAGCGACACAGTCTTCCATGGGGGCGGTAGCGGTTTCAGAGACATATGGAGCGAGGAGGGGAGGGGCGCTCAAGCAGTCAAAAAGAGCTGCCAATTCGTAGCTACCATATTAGCACCTAAATATTAAAAAAATATTTATTTTCAATATTAAAAATATTTATAAAACATAATTTACAAATATTAAGCCTTCTGTGGTTCGTTGGTTAGCGTGCTCGCTTTCCACGGCGCAACCCCGGCTTCGATTCCGGTTGGGGGCAAGAATTAATTGTGTGCTTTCCTTGCGATGTCCAAGTATCTGTTGCCGTGTGACAATGAGAAAGCTCACTTAACAAATAGAGAAAACGAGAGTACAGGATGGGTACGTTCTAACCACACGTACCCCTTAACCCACGGCCGTAAAGTCGGGACCCATCTGGTAGACCTTGTCTCGTAAAGAGCTGTTGTGCCAAAGTATATATACATACACAGAACATTTTACAATTATTGCTGCGCATGAGCCGCTATTGTTGGTGCAACAAATGCAGCCATAGAGACGAGTTTACAAGAAAGGGCGTAAGACAAGTATTAAGGCAGGTTAATTTTTTTAAATTAATTATTAATTTTGTGTTTATTTTATTACGTTTAATCGATTTTGTGTTCATTTAAGAATTTTAATAAATAATTTTATTGTACATTTGGTTGATTAATTAATTTATATTTCGCGATTTTAATGGAGAAATATGTGAATAAATTAGAGGCTGATTATATGCAACATTAGGTGATTCATATAAAATTCCCTTTTATGGAGTAGGGGGCGTTGGGATTCTTTTTCCGCAGGGGGCGGTGGTCAAAGCGATGCGCGAGCGCTCACCTGTACGCGCGCTCGGCCTGCGCGCACGGGAAGACGCGCGCCCCCAGCGGCTGCACGACGCCCTCGCGCAGCAGCTGCGCCAGGCGCGCGTGCAGCTCCGCGGCCAGCGGCGACGCCCCGCGCCACACGTCCTCCAGCCACAGGCTGCTCACGCTCGTCTGCGGCGCGAACGCGTGCATGCCTGCGGGCACGCGGCGGAGGCCGTTATTGACGAAAATGCGGTGCATCGATTGGGAAGTCCTAGGATTCGAGTACCGGCGGTGGCGAGGTTTTCAACTCTAGCTAGGACGAATTCAGTCGCTGTCTGGAGGAGAATGGTTCTGAGCGCTGGTTGCTCTGAGCGGTAGTGATTTCTTCGATCAACACCAGACGAATCCCGGAGCAGTACCTAACAAACGGGCCACGGACTGCGCGCGATATTTCCTTCCTCTTCTTTGTCCCATCATCACCTCTTACTTTCTCTCTCTCTCTCTCTCTCTCTCTCTCTCTCTCTCTCTCTCTCTCTCTCTCTCTCTCTCTCTCTCCAACACACACACACACACACACGCACACAAACTTACGTGCACTACATATTGGGAGACCAGTGGAGAGCTCAGAGTTTCTCCCGACTGCGGTGATGCCCCTCTGGTGAGAGATACCTGGTTGTGGAAAACCTGGCAAGTCGCCATATAGGTTGATGCCGGATCTCACCGTCCCGCAGGAGAAAGTTACCGGTACCTCCTGCGATAAAAGATGCGCGACACTTACGGGACTAATTTATTATCATTTGACGCGCCCAGAAACATTAATCAATCAATAAAAAAACGATAGACACACACGTAGGCACTTGGAAATGAGGAAGTGAGCGAGCGTTGGTTCCGAGTGCGTCAACAACTGAGTCATTAGAGTCGAAAGTGTAGTGCATGTTATATCTTGGTAAGTGGGAATGTTCTTGGCCCCGTTGGTAAATGAGAGCTGGCGCAGACCTACACGACATTTTGTTTTTTTCTCCTCCAGGCATCACTCCCAAAGATGTACCATTTTAGCCTAGACGAGCACTAAGCCATCGTCAGTTCTTCTGACATGCTTAGTAGTAATGCATGTGAGTTTAAGGGGAGAGGAGTAAAGAAACTATCGTGCACGGTCAGTTACCTGATCGCTAGGGTACTGCTCCGGCATTCGCAAGGTATTGATCAGAGAAATCACGGAAAACTACCGATTAGAAGAGTCTGCTGTTAGAATTCTCCTGGAGGTTGAATTTTACCCAGGTATGTTGGTACTGTCCAAAATCCACCATAATCGTAATTAGAACCCTACAACCTCACAATCAAGCACGATACAGTACTCGTGCCACGTGATGCTTGATTATTGCATTCTGTCCAAAAGTATTTGTCAACGCTGGGGTTTGTTGCTGAGGTGGTGGCGGCCCATCCAAACCACTAGTTGAGGAATTTGAATCCCTACGTTAGATTCCTCCCGTTTCTTCTTCTACCTTGCATTTCCCACATCATCATCATCACCATCATCATTATCATCAGGTAGCACAATCATTCTTGTCACTCCTTTTTTCCCTCGCAATGACATCATGGTTTCAAGCGCTATGTAGTGGCGGCTTTGAGTAACTCTGCTGTCAGCCAATTGCCTCGAATGATCTACCCTCATCTACCCATCACACATTCAGCCAATCTCTGCACGAGAATCGCGGGGATGTAGCTTTAATCATAACAGTTGACCACCGTTGTCTCACACAGATGTCAAACACCCGAGACGTTATAAGAAATTTGTTGTTTCTAAATTAAGTTTAATTCTCTCATACACTTTGTAATGCTGTTATACAAAAATTGGCTAATTTAACTAGTTTATAATGTTATTTATTACATTCGTTCAAATTTGAAAACAAAACAGCTTGTAACGTCGCTAGTTTTCGAAACTTGTACTCGTGCAATAAAATGTTACGTTATAAATTATTGCATAAACTACTATTAGAAGGCAATTGGATTGGCCTCAATGAAAAAAAAATTGAACAGAAATAATTTTGAATGTCGAAATTAAGTCTTAAGCTGTACAACACTGAATATCTATTAGGTCAGCGACCTTTGAAGGAAACTTGTGTGTACCACATGTGCAATACATGTGGTAAAAATTAGTGTCATTCAAGTAAAATAACGACTTGACTTCCTTATAATAACGACTTGACTTGACTTCCTTGACTCCTAAAAAAAGTAGTATTGAGAGCGCACTTCGTTATAATGTTATACACGCACACCGCTTCCGAGTAAATTTCTTCACCGTGGTGACGTTGAGAGAGTTCCAAGATACCGGGCGATATGTGTACGAACAGGAGGAGAGGGTGCATTTAAGGAAGTGTGTGCTAAAATACATCGAGACAGAGGGAAAGTTGTTTTTAAATCGATTACTTGTTTGTTATGTGAAACATTTCAAGTTTTCTAGTTTATTTTTTCCCTGTAATTTGTCTTATTGAAAATATCAAAGAGTTGATGTATAACTGACACATGACATATGCCACATATGACATATGCCACATATGACATATGCCACATATGGCATATGCCACATATGACACATATGACATATGACACATACATTTTTATTGAATGATTTTGTGGCAATAGAAACTGCTTTAACAGAATAACTGGTTTTTGTATTACTTATTGATTTACTTCAGATTTCTTTATAACAATTTTATCATTTTTTGTGTTATTGTAGCATGTTATTTTGAATTGTTATTTGAACCACAATGGCGCCCCAACAACAAGCTTCTCCCCCTTCCTGCATGAGACTGAGAAATGCAAATAACCTCAACTAGCTGAATACGTGCGGAAATTTTGGTGAAACGATTTTTTGGTGGAAGTATTATATTTTTTTATTAGTGTCCGTTCTGAAATAACAATTCAAATTTTTAAATGAATGATTTTTGAAGTAATAGAATAATCTTTAACAGAATAACTGGTTTTGTATTATTTATTTATGTACTTAAGGTTTCTTTATAACTACGAACTATTTTATCATTTTTTGTGTAGCATGTTATTTTGAATTGTTATTTGAACCACAATGGCGCCCCAACATTATTGGGCTTCTCCCCCCTTCCTGCATGAGACTGAGAAATGCAAATAACCTCAACCGCACACAGAGCAAAGTTCTTCGGTAGTTAAATAAACTGTCTCTAGAATGTCTTTGATTTTGTGTAATACTGTGTTAATTGAACAATTGACATTACCACAACGAACTTACGTAAAATCTAATTTAGTACAGTGCGAAAACTAGCTAATATAGTGTGTTTGGTCTATCTTTAACACACTAAGCGTGCAATAAAACGAATAAAAATGTCTCATTAGGCACAAAAACAGAGCCTGGACACGAAAATCTGGCTGTGCGATGTTTCTGAGTAACCAATTAAGTGATCTGTGTTCTTGAAAATAAAACTCAGAAACGCTTTAAAAAAAATGTGTATGACACACGTGGTAAAAAGAATTTAATTTTGCTCGTTAAATTGCGCCACTCGGCCTATTGGAGTCATGTCACAACCTTTGGTAAAATGTCACTTCTACTTCTCGTAACATAAATAACTATTTGTCATAAAACTTCCCTTGCAGAAATACACATATTTTAAGAATAAAATACCCTCTGGAGTCGCCTCGCTAACCTAGTACGAAAACGAGTGTGTGGAAGTGCGTACCGACAGTCTCCTGCGAAGCGGCGTCCGCCTCCCGCATCTGCACGAAGCGGCCGCTGGGGGCGAGCGCGCGCAGCCCCTCGCGCAGCCAGCCTTCGGAGCGCCAGCTGAGGATGGCGTCGGCGCCGACGCCGCGCGTCAGCCAGAGCACGCGCACGGGCAGGCCCTCGGCCCGCGCCGCCTCCGTCGCCACCTCCTCCTCCGCCGTCGCCACCTCCTCCTCCGCCGTTGCCACCTCCTCCTCCGCCGTCGCCACCTCCTCTGTCGCCGCCCCCGTCGCCTCTGCTACCGCCTCCGCGCAGCAGAACACCTCCTCCCGCCCGAGCTGCGCACACGAGATTACTGCTCGACAATGCAACTGTCGCGGCACAAACGGGCAGTTGAACAGGCCGCTCTCTACTCCAAGGGGCTCGCCCACTAGCGCCAGCAGGTGACGCGGTGAGGGGTGGGACCTCCGGGATCTTCACGGCCGAGTGAACTCTAGTGCGAGGCTTATCCCTCCCCTCCCCTCCACTCCCCTCTCCACCCCCTCTCTGCCGACGTGAGTGCCACCGTGAAACGCAAGGTCCGGGTGGCCGTTTAGAAACCATGCCTGCTTGCCTGCCACCCCAAAACATGCCTACCTGCGTGGTCATGATTCCCCCTGCGAGGTCATTTATAGTAGCAAATACTAGAATCGCATTCTCACTGCAACCACGTTGATGCTAACGACGTGAGTGCCACCGTGAAACGCAGGGCCCAGGTGGGCGTTAACAAGTCTCCACCACAAACCATGCCCACCTCCGTGGTCATGATTCCCCCCTGCGAGGTCATTTATAGTAGCAAATTCAAGAATCGCCTATTCACTGCCACCAAACGCCGTGAGTGCCACCATGAAACGCAGGTTTCGGGGGGTCGTTTACAAATCTCCACCAGAAACCATGCCCGCCTGTGTGGTCATGATCCCCCCTGCGAGGCCACGTATAGCAGCAAATTCAAGAATCGCCTACTCACTGCCATCACCTTGATGCTAACGACGTGAGTGCCACCGCGAAACAGTGAGGTCATTTATAGTAGCAAATGCTACAAGGGCACTTGGGTAGCAAATGCACGTTGTATTGCTGCGCCTTGAGCGAAGCGCTGCTGTACCTGCGGGAACAGCGCGCGGAGGAGGCGTCGCTCGCGGCGGTGCGCGACGGCGGCGACCACGCGGCAGCCGAAGTGCAGCGCCAAGCGCACGGCCGCCTGCCCCACGGCCGACGCGGCCTGCTGCACCACCACCGTCTCGCCCGCCCGCACGCCGCACAGCCCCTCCAGCGCGTACAGCGCCTGCGGGCACACACACACACACCACGGCCCTGCAACTCTCCATAAAAACAGGGGGGGGGAAAGCTCGAGGATGATACTTGGCGATGGCGTAACGGTTAGCGTATCGGACTGTTGTACCCAAGTTGGCGGGTTCAAACCCGATCGAAGCCGTGGATTTTTAAGGGCGAAAAAATCCTTCGTACGCCTTCCTTCGGAGGGGAAGTAAAGCCGGCTGTCGCATGTTAGTAGATTTACCTGCATGTAAAAGATCCTCAAGCCTAAATGACACCTCTGAGCTAAATTAAAATTGCCTGTTTCTCGCCCAAGAAATGCCTCCTTTCTCTGCTAGTTAGTGAAAGGAGCTAGCTAGTTAGTGAAATTTGCGTGGTCAGACGGAAGGGCAGGCCTCATGGTCTGAGTCTCGCCACGTTAAATAAGGCATTAATTCAATTCAATACTCTCGGAGGCGCTAGTGTCGCCGGGTACAGCTGCAGGTTAGGCTCGCCAACTTCCGCGTACAAAAAATGGCTAATTTGTGAAAAATAGGAAAAGTGTCTTTTAAATGTTCGATTATTCATAATATACACATATATGAGACCCGTGAAGAAAGCGCGAACATAGTCGTTATGTTTTGTAACATCATGAGCCTGCTTGCAGCCCGCGAATTCACGCAGTAGCCACGCTAATTTTCAGTATCGTTGGCAGCAGTTCGTGTTTTATTTCCTGTAAGAAGGTGCTGCAGCAGAGCCCAGCACTGTAATGGTTTCCACCGCGTTATATTGGAGTTCTAAGGCCCTGACACACACTGAGTGCGTCCATCGGCAAGCGGTGAGTGACGGACCGTCGATGGGTTGACAGAAAATGTTGGGTAGTTCTCGGAAAAAGCTGATTCGATTGTGCTCCTTTATTAATTACCGGCAATGCTACGATAATACAACGTATTACACCTCACACGCAGCTGGTAACGTGATTGTTAATCTGGTTTACGCACTGCAGAAATTTTAATAGATGAAAGTCCTCCTTTCGAGCATGGGTTTGTTCTATGTCCTGGTTTGGACATGTTTGTTACTTCAGGGTGCGGCGGGTTGCGTAGAGCATCTGCTCAGGGGGGCTTGAGTCATAAAGGCATAAATCAACATCGTCCCAATTTTGCGTGCTGTCTGTGTGTGTATGTGCGTTTGTGCGTCTGTGTGAAGTTGCCCATGTAAGTTTGTGTGAGCGTGCATTTGATTGATTAGTGATTCTGAGCGCGTCAAATGCTTAGTCCGTTAGTCCCCTAAGTGCAGTGCATGTTTTCATCGCCCGAGGAAGCTGTAATCTTTCCCCCCTACATGGAGAGATCCGACGCCAACCTACATCAGCTTGTGCGGATTTCCCCACCCAGGTATCTTCCAGCAGCGGGGCATCACCCCAGACACGCCAAGTTCTAAGCTCCCGACCGGTCTCCCGGGCATGTGTGATAGTGTAGTTCATGAAAGTGTAAATCAAGGAAGAGGAAAGAAAGATCGCGCGCGATCCGTTTCCCGTTAGTGAAGAAACTACTCCGGCATTCGTCTGGTATTAATGGGAGAATCCACAGAAATCTACCGATGATAGCAGCCGGCCGCTAAAATTCTCCTCCAGATAGCGGCTAAATTCGACCTAGCTCTCCCGGTGTGTGAGCGTGTGGCGCATGTGTTCGTGTGCGTGCATGTGTGTTCGTGTGCGTGCATGTGTGTTCGTGTGCGTGCATGTGTGTTTGTGTGCGTGCATGTGTGTTTGTGTGCGTGCATGTGTGTTCGTGTGCGTGCATGTGTGTTCGTGGGCGTGCATGTGCGTTCGTGGGCGTGCATGTGCGTTCGTGGGCGTGCATGAGTTTCTTTGTGTGTGTATGCCGGAGAGTATGTTTATGTGTTCACGAGTGTGTATGTGTGGATGTATGCCGGAGAGTATGTTATGTGTTCACGTGTGTGACTCCGTGCGAGTCCATGTGAACTCGCATGTGCGTGGGGACGTTCTCACCGTGAGGTAGGCGCGGGGCACCGTGGCGGCCTGCTCCAGCGTCCAGGCGTGCGGCACGTCCCAGAGCAGCGAGGCGGGGACGCGGGCCAGGGTAGCGACGGCACCTCCCGCGCACGCGCCCATCACGCGCCGCCCGTCGCCCAGCCGCCCCGACAGCTCGCCGCCCAGCCGCCCGCCCTGCGCAAGCGGCACCATCCTCACGTGCGTGATCTGGGCTGTCCGGGTGACGCCGCGTCGAAGGCTGTGTGGCCGACGTTTCGACCATCTTGTCGTGGTCTTCCTCGGGGCAGGGCATACCAGCCCTGAGGAAGATCACGACAAGATGGTCGAAACGTCGGCAACACAGCCTTGTCGTGGTCTTCCTCAGGGCTGGTATGCGGAGGAAGACCACGACAAGATGGTCGAAACGGTAATAAACGTTCGTTATCTTCATAATCACAGAGCTTCAACTCGGACCAAATGGACAGGGTTTTCTTCAATTTGGAAAAAATCCCGCGCATGGTTTAAGCACTAGTGTTGTTCACAAACACCGTGTTCACAAACACCGTTCACCAACTAGTGTTGTTCACAATCGGACAGACAGACGGACGTTTTGAAGAAAAAACACTCTTTCGGTGTCAGGGGACCTCAAAACGTGTACTTCCGTTGAAATCTCAAAATCAATTTTCCGCAGCATTACATAACTTTACCTATTCTACGTCCATTACTCTGTATATACGTACGTATACAGGAAAGTAAAAATGTAAAATTGATGTGAAAGTAAAGTATGTTTCTAATTTCTCCTACCTGATTCCTATCCGGTATGCTAGGATCATCTGCAATCTTCCCCAATGCTATATGAAGATCGTTTTCGCTTACACTTGCGTAATAGACATGTACCAACTTCTCGTCTTTCTGCAATTCTGGTCTGAAATACAAAGAAAACAATAAATGCAATTTCATTTAAACATCATTTTTTTGTAAATATATAATAAAAAGTTATCAGTTCTAGGAGAAATCAGTGGTGGATCCAGGAGAGATAAACTTAAAGCTTATTCTTCAATAATTGTAGTCAATTCAAAACAATTATCATAAAAATTGGTCGCATTATATTCAAAAGAGAATTACCATTACGGATGCATATTCATCGCATCATCAATGTCTATTGGTGTAATTCAACTCTCAGAAATGTCTTTTTAAATCACGCTTGTGCATTGTTAATTGGCGACACAGAAATTTCCAATTCACTTGCGGTATTACCTTTTACAAACCCGCGCATGTTATTAACGCTAATAGCGTTGAACAATACCTCTGATATTCCTTGATCAGAGAAATTTATTTTAAAAAAATAATCGCTTTTTATATGCTATTTCTCTTCCCACTCATCTCAGCTGGTCAATCATAAGCAGCCATTCATCAGTCATAGGAGATGTAGTCCTAAGAGGTTCAAAATCAAACTCGTTAATACAATTAATACTTTAAGCATTATGATATTGTATGTATTTCATTCGGGGAACATGCCACTCATACCACTTATGCATATATCACTATATCACTAAATACCACTCATGCATCAAAAATTTCGAGATAAAGCCTCTCGTGGCCTCGTGTACTCCCTGTGTTATCTCCGATAGTTTCTAATTCTCGGAAAAATGATTGTCAAAGGTTTTCTGTTATCGCAGTATAGTTTTCGTAGTGTGATTCTGATCTTATTTTCAAATCTGTATCATTACGTTTACTACCTTCAATTCCAATGAACAATTATTCTTTGTTTGATATGGTATACGAATGTACGCAAGACCTTCGGGTGACTCAGGAACGGCGAAATTGTTTTCGGAGAGGCAGTCCCGAGTTAAATTCACAGCCGGAGAAAAAAATAAGCTATACCTTTATAATAAAAATCAATCGCCTTAATTTCCGTAGCTGTGGGTCAAAAGATTAATCTCAGCCAGGCCGAGTAACCTTGGTACGGTCATGCTCGTCATATGTCTTCGCTTGCCCCTCGGCGTTGAAAATAAACAAAAATAAGACAAAAACCTCTAGCTGGCAAAAACTGGATTAATCCGCCGCTAAAATGCCAAATATATACTACATACATAGGAATATTCGGCGTGGTTAGCCAAATGGCTTAACTGCACTCCGTGAAATCATGGGAGGTAAGCGATTCAAGACACTATGGATTCCTGAATGGGTGACCGTCTGAGAATCCCAGTTACTCACAGTACCGAGACTGTGGACAAAAAGAAAAAAAAAGACATCGACGTTACGAGACAAATGATAAATACGTTACGGGAGGATTACCCCAATGAATATAAACATTCAATGCCCAAAAAGGACTAAAAAGACGGAGTAACGTGAAAACTAAAATGTCCGCGACATCTTACCTGCTGGCATCGATGGAGCCTGCGACCCAGGCGAGGGAGCGGAGGTCGCCGAGAGTGGCGGCCGTCTGGTAGGCGTGGGCGGCGGGGGCGGTGTGGGCGGCGTCGCGCTGCTCGAGGGGCAGCTGGCACACGGAGCCCCAC